CCCCTAGGCACAGACCCTTCTACTTTTTAACGATGGGCCCAATCTTAGATCCATAGGCCAACATTAGAGCCATTTCCCCTATGTCAGGAAAATTGTAGGAACGCTACAAAAGTTCCGAGGAAATCTTGTAAATTTAGGAAACTTTAGAAAAGAACCGGGAATTTTTTGATAATTTTTGGGATCTTCAAGTAAGTTTAGAAATTTTAAAGGATATTCCATGAGCTTCAGGACAGTATCGAAAACATCAGGAAAATTGCGAAAATATCAGGATAGATCAAATAGCTTGAAGGCAGTTCAAAATAATTCAGGAAAATTTGCTGGAATTTTTTGAAAGTTCTGAATACCTCAGGAATGACTATATTTCCTGTAACTTCCGGAAAGCACCGAAAACTTTTGAAAAATCTAGACTTGGAGAAAATTTCTGCAGAATGCTCCTAGGGGATTCTGTATAGTATTCTTGAGGAAATTCTAATAAAGATTCTTACAGATTTGCAAGGGGAACTGCAGGTTGATTCTTTTGAGAATTCTATGGATATTTTGAGTAATTATGAAGAGAATTCCAGGATTATTCTAAAAGAAATTCTGTGCATAATTTCAAAGTAACTTCGAGGAGAATTCAAATGGCAATTACAAAGGATTTCTTACCACAATTCGTAGAAAATTCCGACAAGAATCCACATGAATTCCAAGAGAATTTTAATAAAATTCCAAAGGTATCTGACTCTGAATCTTTTTTGGAAAGCACACTAAGGGGAGATTGCTTAGGGAATGCTGACGAGAGTTCCCAACGTGGTAATAGCAGTAATGGATAAAATTCCAAGGTAATTCTGACTCATACCTTTTGAGGATAATTCCATAGGGCTTATGAAGAGACTTCCAGGAGAATTTCAACAGAATTTCATTGAAATTTTCAACAGAATTTTTAGGAAGGCTGCGAAGTCAGGTTGGCGAAGGAAGCATTTTTGGTAGGATTTACACCCGCAGTCACAGCTAAATGTGTTTTCAACATTGGAATAGTAAGATACCTCTGATTTAGCTCCGGCTCATTAAAAATGCCTCTGACTCCAACGTTACTCCACAATTCTGAATACTTCTAACGGAATGTTGTGCATAATTTAAATGGAGTTTTGAAAATAATTCTGGTGATTATTCCAACGAAATACTAATGAGTATTCCTAGGAAAATCCAAGAAGATTTTCGAGGGAGTTCGGACAAAAACCTCAAAAGCTTCCTGGCAATAATTTAAATTCAGGTAGTTTCTACGGAATAACGAGGAAGATGCCAAGCTACTTGTTTTTGCAGTTACGGATTTTTTAAGTTATAAACATATACTTATACAAAATATAAGTTTTGCTCCACCAGGCTCAATTCATTTTAAATCAGGTCCCGAGATCATTTGGATGCGGACTCATACTGCACTTACCCTTTGAAGTTTACATGGGAATTACTATGGGTAAAGTGAACTTTCTGTTCTCAACGTCCTAGCAACTTCGCCATAATGATTTACGGAAAAATTACTCCTGCTCATATGTGAAATTTTATCAGCTACAACTTTATGATTAGACTTCAAGTTAATTAGTTATACATTAATTACGAAGTCTATAACTTTCTGATATGATTAATCGACTACTTTCACTGCACAAAGCGAGGTTACTTTTAAATTTTAATTGATTTTTTTTTAAACTTTTCTTAACGAGACAATGTCGAGAATTTATTATGGACATATTTAATCGATAGCATAATAAGACGTCTTCAGACTCTTTCTCGGGATTTGTCTTTGACTTCAGGGAACTTCGTAAAACTTCAATGAATTCTAAGAAGTTCAGGGAAAATCGTAAAAATTGACGAATCTTAGTAGAACTTTTGGAAACTTCATAGAACTTCAGAAAAATTCATTGAAACTCAAGGAGCTTTGCAAAAGCTCTGAAAGCTACGTTGGAGGGCTTTTAGAGCTTTTGCAAAGCTCCTTGAATTTCAATGAATTTTTCTCTACACACTTAGAAATGACTAAGTTTACACGAGACGTAATCCATATTGGACGTAAATCATGTAACGTAAACAAACATTTCATTCTTTTAATTTTGTCGAAGCTCTTAACGGAATCCCTTAATGAAGAGCTTTGAGTGTGTTGGTTTATTTCCTTTCAATTCCGTTATAATTACTTATCTTTTGACAGATACGCGTATTTCGCCTACTACTTGCAGCCTTCATCAGTGCCAAGTGGTGTTGAGTACTTGGCACTGATGAAGTCTGCAATTATTAGACGAAATACGCATATCTGTCAAAAGATAAGCAATTATAATGGAATTGAAAGGAAATAAACCAACACATTTAAAGCTCTACATAAACATTTCATGTAAAATTAAGTGTTCTCAAACCGAAACATAAGCAAGTTGACGAAGAGAACGTTTGATTGAATTGATTTTCTGCCGGAGCCGATGGGGTAGTGGTAAGCGTGACTGCTTTCTCACCCCAATGGGCATGGGTTCAATCTCAGCCGAGGTCGGTAGGATTTTTCTGGTTTTTGTTGGTCCCGGCCCATGTGTTGAATGAGTGCGATATCCTACGCAGGTGTGGAAGCTGCCTTCCTGAACATTCGATTGCCGTCAATGGATGGCAATCGATGTCCGTCGGTGATGGGCACTACACGGAGAAAAAATACTACACAAATTTTGAGTTCTTTTTACTTAATATTGAGTTCAGCCTCTCACTTGCACTCTTTATTGTTGTCAAAAAAGGAACGAGAGATTCGGCTCAACGATATAGTTCAGCCTAATAAGTTACTTCTGAGTAAATTGCATATTCTCAAATTTACGTGAATTAAACTTAATTTTGGGTAGAATATACTTAAGAGTAGGTACTTTTTTTGCTGGTGTTAAACGTAAACTACTATGTGCGATTTACTCAAATTTGGGTTATTGGGCTGAACCCCGGAATTAACTCGTTTCTTTCAACTGATTCTTATGTCAAAAGGGTCGCATACATGTGTCGGTCTCAGGGAACAGACATTTACATGACTTTTTCGTAATGTGTATTTATGTTTTGGGATTTTCGTAGAAGTTAAACATTATTTAATTTCAAGGAAACTCATTATTGATCGGGAATCTTCATACTTTTTTGAAGCCCCATGAGTCTGGTATAGTTCAAGGAATTACGTACAAGTTCAAGAAATTTTGTAGAAGTTTTGCGAATTTCGTAGCATTTTCAGGAGCTGCATAAAACTTCATATAAGTGCAAGGAGTTTTATTGAAGATTTAAAAATAGGTTAGCAAACTTCAAAGGACTTCAGGGATCGCTGCAGTTTAGGGAACTTCGTTGCAGTTTGTCAGAGATCTTTCTTCAAAAAAGATCCATGAACTTCTTGGACGCTTTGGGAACTTCGTAAAATTTCAAGGAACTTTGCAGATGCTCAAGAATATGTGTAGATGCTGGGGGACTTTTCAGAGGTTCAAAGATGTTCAGATATCTTTGTAGAATTACAAGGGATGGAAAAATATGGAATTTGGGATAAATTCAGAGAACTTCGTACAAGTTGAGGAGATTTTGTAAAACTTAAGGGAGTTTTGTACAGGGATGGGCTATAAACTCAGAACGGTGCTAAACATACTTGCTCTGCTCTCAAATACGGGAGCATGCCTTTGATAAGAGGTAGGAGAAAGAGACAAAGAAGAGAAATATGTCATACCTGGGTGAGAGCAGTTGGACTACACGGGTGTTACTCGCGCATAACAAAATCGAGTAATTAATGCACTATGTATTGACGGAAGAGGCACTTTTCAATCGCAGGAGACGTGGTTTAGAGATTTACAGGAATTAATACGGAAGATAGGCTGAGCGCATAATATATGCAGTGTCTGCTTTTTCTGCTCAGCCTCTGGTGCTTAAACGACAAGTATGGCTCTAAAAGATTGCAAATTGTCATCTACGAGCATCCACCCCCCCTTCCTCGCCTCCCTATCCGTCTCCGTCAGCACCTTAAAACTCCACTTTGGACAACATATAATTCATTCGAAATGCCTGAACCAATGACCATTGCTTGTTCAAAATCAGAAAGCTTTTAAGGCCAAGCGTTGTTATGAAATAAATATAATAAAATTAAATGTTTCACCATTAATATGATAGTAAGCCTCGCCATAATAGGTCATATTATTGGACGAAGGGAAGTACAAATAACCAACTTTTCCGCAGATAATTACAGCGATGGCTAGAACGATAAGAACATAAAGTTCATTTTTCTAATTACCATATTAACTTCTAAGGGCAAGTTTGCATATAAATGAGCTCACATTTTAGGAGAATTACCATGACTTGATTTGAATTCGATTAAGCTTAGTGCAGCAAAATCGACATTTTGTACTACTCTAACACACATAGATTCTATATGACATCCCAAAAAAAATTGAACGCTGAATAAAAGCTTATTTAAGCCAAAATATGGTTCTTCAGCTAAAAAGTAGCTAATTCAGCTTTTAATCAGTTGAAATTGTTTGTTGACATACTAGTTTGAGTAATTCTTGTAAAATTCTTCTTATTTGACTGCCCTTTTCTAGACTGGTTTATTTTTTTAAATACAATTAACCGAATCGACTGAAATATTTCACATTTGCAGTCAAAGTATTGAACGCCTTCAATTTGACTAAAATTTGTTCACGACAAAGATAAATTTGATTTTTTTTAACACCTAAGAAATTATTGACGCACATATACTTTTATCCGGTACTGTAGGTTACAGCTCAAATTTTATAATCGATATATTATTTTGAATAAATCCTTATTCATATTCGTAAAATTCTCGGTCATCCGATAAATGATAATCAAACAAAATCTGAAAGAGACGAAGGATTTCATCTAGTTTCTAAGGTGATTCACTCTACAGTTCAATCGCTCAATCGATTGACAATCATTTCACTAGCTGTGGCGCATAGCTTCATCAAAACCTAGTTCAAAATAATTGAAACCCCACAGTCAAAACAATTAAAAAGCACCAGCGTTCTACTTACTGAAATCGCTCTGATCGTCGTGCGTCCCATTGACGGTCCCATCGGCGAGCAGCTGCAGGTATCGGTTCTTGATGTAGAGCTGAATCTTGCGGTTCGCACCGGTAATGTGCGACAGATTCGCCGATCGTTCGTTACGGTCTAGATTGGACGAATCACTAGCACTACCATCGGCCGTCGCATTACGATGCTGCTGCTGCTGCTGCTGATGGTGATGGTGTCGTCCTGCCCCTCGTCCCCGGCCGCCACCACCAGCGGTAGCCATTAGGGTTCCATTACCTGTTAGATAGTGCTGATGCCGATGGTGATGGGGCGGGGAGGCACTACGTCCGACCCTCGATAGAACCGGCCACCACCGACTGCGGTCCTCTGCGTTGTCGGAGATGAGCCGCCGATCGATGCTGGACGTAGAATTGAATACTGATTGATTGACGGCATTTTGGACGTCGCCGCCGCGGTCGTTGACCTCATTTATACTTCGTACTAGTTGATCATCGACGCTGCGAACTTGGGGAACCGTTTCTGTTGTTGATGTTGTTGTGGTTCTCACCGCTGATGACGATGGTGATGCAAGTGATGGTGTTCTTTGGGACAGAATGCTGTCAATAGTCGGTTTGTGCGTTATCTGCTGCGGTTCGGAGCGATAACGAGCGTCGGGCATACTCGATTCACCACCGCTACCGTTTGGGGCGTCGTCGTTATCTAACAGTCGCAGCGCGACAACGTCAGCCGTTTGTTGTACATTTGATTTATTTTTATCGATCGACTGCTCAATTGAATAACCGGCGGTGTTATTTTCAGGCTGTCGTAAATTTAGCGTTGTTCGGTTTTGGTCGTCGCTCGCGCTCGCACTACCGACACGGCTGCCGGTATGCGTAGAGCTGCGATGATGATTTTCACTTTCTCCGGTGCCCCCTCGGTCGTCGTAGTTCCCCACCGTAAGTACATTCATGAAGCGATTCAGTTCGCTCACTTTGCGACTCTTGCTGGCATTTGCATGCTGTTGCTGGATGGAGCTGGTCACTGAAACTGCTGGCACCGGGTCCGAGGGAAAGTCGATCTGCGGCACATTTGGCAACACGGCCGGCAGTGGTTTTGGCATCGTCGCACAACACGGAGGCCATATCAGAATGACCAGCAGGAGGGCTCCCAGCAGGGCCAGGGCCCTCCGTCGAAGTCTTCCACTGAGCATCAACAAGTGGGCGCTGTTTGGCAGCAATTCCGAAAACAAACAAATCGGTCTTCTCGAAAAAAAATTCAATTCAATCGCATGAATCTCTTCAGGTTATCATCAACCCTGCTTGCTGATGTCGATTGGGATGCACTTGGTTTTCACGCTTGCGATTGTGCGGCAGAAACGTCCCCAGTCGTTGACCGCCCATTGCTCTCACTGGCGCACACAGAATTCAGCTCTTTGCCTCTTCTATAACCCCTCCCCCCCCGCTAAACTACCAAATGCCACACTTTTACCCGACTGACACGAATTTTACACTTCCGATTCGGCACCACCGGGTTTTCCTCTTCGCCCATCACCTCCTGACACTGACACGAGGCAAGAACATTCCGGGCGGGGGCACTTTGTAGCGAGAGAGAGAGAGAGAGAGAGAGAGATTTCTTCGATATGCTTCTTCTTTTCTTTTTTCTTCGTCGTCGGTTTGCAATCGCTCTTCCTTCACTCTACCAGATGATCGAGAATAGTGTAAGATCTTAACGCACTCACCACAGAAATAACCACTTCAAACGCAAGAATTCAAGTTGATGGGATGCTGTCGTCTGCTGTCTGCACGAGTTTCTGGAAATAAATTCGGGAGAAAAGTGAAAGTGAGTTCGATTGACAACAATAGGCACTGCATTGGGGATGGGGTCTTGTGCTCAGCGATTGGGTGTTCGAACATAATGCAATGTATTCTAAAATTGAGCCATGCGACAATATGAAATGTTAGTTGGCGGCGAAGACAGTCCATGAGTTCGAAATACATATTTATAACTAGGGGAAATGGGGTCACTATTGAAAATTTAGTCGATTGCTCAATTTATGTAAGGGCCCAAATTAGGAGCATTAGGCCGACATTACATCAATTTCCCCTTTAAGTTTGAAATTTAGAACAGAGGAATATTTTTGCAATGTTTTTCATTTTAAAATAACATTTCAATATGAACCCAAATATTTAGGGTTGCGTCCCAAGCACGACAGCATTATTGACGTAGAACTGCGACATTGTTTTTGATTCAATAATGTAATAATGTATTTTAAACTGAATGATTTATTAATATAATTTCTCAATCAATAACAATTAAATTCATCATTCACAGTTTTGAAATGAGGCGACATTCAAAATCCTAAAATTGAGAATGTAGTTTTAATATTGGAAATTCAGTGTCTACACTCAACGTTCGGTAGCTGTATATTGTTTATTTTTCAGTTACTGGAGCAGCACTCTGCCAAGTCAATTTAATTGTTTGAACGTATCTACATATATCCGTTTACACAGGACATTGAGCTATGTTTAAATTTGAAACATGCTTCTTTTTTTTTCCTTCATTTGTTTTCCGTCGATCTTGTTTTCCGTGCTGAGTACCAATGCGACGCCAGGGAGCCAGCTCCCTCACCTGGACCCTACCTATCGACCCATCAACTCATGAACCGGGGACCAACGGCTTTACTTCCCTTCCGAAGGAAGGCGTGATCAGATATGTTATGCCTCAGAACATCCCGGCGGCGCCGACTGGGATTGAACCCAGGCCTGCTGGGGTGAGAGGTAAAGACGCTTACAACTACATCACCGACACCGCTATATTTGAAATATGCTATGACACAATTTTCATAACGTTTATTATTTTATGTCCGCCTTTCTTTTGCTGATGAATGCCATGAAAGTTGCTTATCATACTTGAAAGCCAATACTTTACATTTTTGTAGACTCTATTTCACAAAGAAATGACGGCAGTAACAAAACAGAAAATTAAATGAAAGGTAAAGACAAACGCAGAGTTCTAGTTGGGAAAATAACTTTGAATAACTTAATCAATTTTACTCAGTCTAAGAGTAATTAACGTTTTGGGGATTAGGGGCACTAGTTATGAGTGAATTTTAAACTGAGAGGCATACCAAACGACAGGTCTTGTAATTTAGAACAACTTTACTGAAGACAGCATACTTTATCTAGTCGTGCTGCCAGGTTAAAGCAATCAATAAAATGTCAAATTGCACACTAGCGTCACCTGGTGACTGATTTTTCAACTGAGCAGTCCACCATCCAAATGATCTTATTTATCTGAAAAACTTTGACCAGGACCGTAAGCTTCTATTCAGCTGAGGTCACAAGTTGAAGCAAGCTATTAGAAGGTAAATGGTAAACTACCGCCTTATGGTACCATCACCATGTACAATAAGTTGTATTCACTTGAACAACTTTACCGAAGACAGCAACCATCTATCTAGTCAGAGTTCACACTCCGAACACGATGCTTTCGGATGCTTTAAGATGTGTAACGGAAAACTTGCAATAAACTTGAATAACCTGAGGAAAATAAAAAAAAGGTAAGATTGTTCTAATTAAATCAATATGCTACTTGTAGATTATTATAGACTATCAGAATTAACGTAAACTTTATAATTCCATTCATTTTACGAATTAACACGTGTTGGTACCATATATTGGATATCAAAATTACTGAAATTACCGGTTTATAAACGGACAAAAACGGACATACAGGTGTTGCAAAATGGCACGGTATTACCGGCAAAACCGGTTAAACAACCCTTAACCCAATCACAATTAGTACCACCCCCACAAAGACCGACCTTAGCGTTCCTCATGAACACGAACATAGACGACCGACAATTCCCGACCTACTATTGACTTTTCACATGGATTTCCAAGTGCTTTAAAAGTGTATATAACCTTAGATAACTATATTTGGCTGTAAAGAAGCCTGCTGAACATAATTGCACGAAGATGTGTTATTTGGGTAACGGATGATTTTTACGACAATGCCACATGCATTAGGACAGTAAAACCAGATGACTGGCATAACAGCAACTACGACAGTAACAACTCTAATGTTATGGGGGGGGGGGGAGTGAAGTTCCCACCCTAATTCTGTAACAAGGGGATATTCTTCCTGGAACCCCACTTAATTACAACTTTTGTTATCTTTCCAGAGCCTTCAGAGTGGTACGAAGTCTTGCTAATAATGAAGAAAACTGAACTAAACTAAGATGAATTTGAAGATAAATAATTTTGGAGGCAATTTCAATAGTTTTAGAACGAAATTCTAGAGTGATCTGCAAATAATTCCCAGGGTCATGTAGTGGAAATTAAAGGCATATACCAGAGGTAGCTCCAAGATGAGGAATTCTCTGCTTGACCGTCAAGCATTACAGTTCGGTTTTTACTCGCTCTCGAGCTATTCACTTGGTGTTTGGTGAAGCATCGCACGACCCCAGCATGGGGAAACCGCCGTTTGTTAATGTGACTGCTATTCCGACCGGGAAACGATCCTGATCGTACACCGCCAGTGCTCAATTGGCAACGAAGAAGCTGTAGGCGAACATTCGTTACGCCATCCTAGAAAACGGCGATGAACCGAAGGTGCATAAGAAGGAGAAAGTTCCATTGTTCTTCGTAAGAGGATTCCCGGAAGGCGTGTGGGAGAAAATCGACTTTTCCATCGGTAAAGGTCTCAAGTGTATCATGCGCCCGTGCACTGAAGCCTTAATGGTCCCAGCGATGAACCACTACAAGGCCATCGAGGCGTTGCTGAAGCTGAAATACGACCAAGCCACTCAAGGTGGTCTTGTGTGGCCTTCCCGACATGGAAACAGTCACACCGTCGGATGAATTGAAGCAACATGGACTCAAGCCAATCAACATCTTCGAGATGAATCGTCATGACGCTTCACGTCAGTACCGCGACCAGCTGTATCTGGTCCACCTGGAAACGAATTCAACATGCTTGAAGGACCTTCAGAGCATTCGGGCCCATTTCCATATCGTGGTGGTTTGGAAACGGTACAAGCAAATGCACGAGCTGCATGCTTTTCGGGCATGGAACGAGAAACTGCCACATGTTCTACCGCTGCAACAATTGTGGCAAGCAACACGTGCCTGATGTCTGTGAGCTAATGGAGGACGCAGATCCCAAATGTGCCAATTGTGGTGCAGCATTACGGGCAACGAGCAAGACATGCCCGAAGCAAGTGGAAATCATTATTAACCGCAAAAATCCTATATGCAGGATCAACCTGGCCACAGTAGGGTGTCAGAAAATAACGAGCAGAACTTCCCAGCCATCCCCGGCAATAAATTCCGGTATGTTCCGGCGCAAGGTTTTCACGGGTATAATCACTTTCTTTCAGGTTCGGTTTCAGTTCACAGGCTTTTCTTCGTTTCAGGTTTTAATCTTTTATTTCCATTTCGTCAAGCCAGTGTAGACTACATACAATGATTATTACAATGTTTACTTACATACTATGCATTAATTCTATTCTGTTTTAGCTTAGTTTTTATTTGCTGCTTGGACATAGTGATGTCAATAGTTCCGCAATGCAAATTATATAGGCGCATCATTCGATTGATTGGGCTATTTTTTGCATAGTTTGTTCTGTACGATGTTTCTGAAAATAAATTCCGTGTTCTAAGATATCGACAAGGTGTGTAAAAATTTAATTGTGCGAGAATTTCTGCCGAATCTCTGCGCATTGAAATAATGTCGTTGATGAAGAAAAGCATTGCAAATTGGCGGCGCTCCTTAAGTGTTTGTATATTGATGATGGTCATATATATTGTATATTGATGATGGTAAATCATAAGATGGTAATGGAAATGCAGTCCAATTCAATTTACGTAAAGCATATAAAAGGAATTGTTTTTGGACAGATTCTATGCGTTCTTCGTGTATGGAAATGTATGGATTCCATACTAGGTGGCAATTTTCCAGAATTGGCCTTACATATGTGGTATATAAAAGCTTAATAGTGTATGGGTCTTCGAAATTATGACTGAACCTTTTGATGAAGCCTAGCATTCTGTTTGCTTTACTAATGATAGTATTATAATGTTCTATAAAAGTTAGTTTGGAGTCTAGGATTACACCTAGATCTCTTACAATTTTGCTTTTTCTACTATTTGGTTGCCTAATGATATTTCAATATGCGGTGTTTCAATTTTTCTGCTAAATGCTATTGCAGTACATTTTTTTACGTTCAGTTGAAGTAGACTTTTACTACACCAGGTGTGGAATATATTGATTTCATTCTGGAATTCTTCTGCATCGCTAGAATTACTTATTTCCATAAAGAGCTTCATGTCGTCTGCATATACAAGCAATTTTATTTTTTTAAGTATGTAGGAAATGTCGTTTATGTACAAAATAAAAAGAAGTGGGCCTAAATGAGAACCCTGGTGTACCCCAGAGGTGACTGAAATTGGTTCTGAAAGTTTATTTTGAAAGCGAACTATTTGTTTA